TGGGGGGGGGGTGACAATAGGTCAGGCGGGACTCTTGGTCGTGGTCGTCAAACACAAGAACGAAACAACCGTCGGGTTCAGTAGCCAAAAGCGGCCAACTAGGCCAGCAACATCGAAAAACGGGGCGGGGTGGACGGACAACGAGGCCACGCGGTATCTCTTGGCTGTGGTCCGCCAAACAAAGTCAAATACGGGTCGTGGTCATGAAAAAAAAAAACGCAAGTCCGTGATAGTTACAAAATACCGGCAACGACGTGATCGTCGAAAATAAAAACAAGGTCGAGGTCGTGAAAAAAAAAAAAGAAAACGTCGTAAGGCCGGGGTCGTCAGAATATACACCGTGGAATGGTAGGGCCGTGGTCGTTACAAAAAGCAACGCAAGGTGGTGGTCGTCAACAAAAAAAGCCGCGGTAAAGAAAGGAACAACATCTTCAGCTCACTTGCACGAGGCGCAGTTGAAGCTCTCGCCGTCCGAGGAGAAGGGGTTGATCTTCTCCAGGAAGGTCGGAATCGACGTGTCTACCTCCACCCTCCCCGCCGCATCCTTCAGGGGCTTCACCATCTTGGCCATCAGCTGCATGGTCTGCGCATCCCGTGCCTTGGCTGAAAGAGTCGGGGATGCGTTGTAGATTCGTTCGATCGTCCAAAAGAAAAAACGGAAGACGGCGCATGAAATATAAAAATTCAAAACGTTGCCGATCGTGTGTACGTGTCTGATTGACACAAGGAGCTGCACCCAACGCAATCCACCCAAGATTATATCCTCGTACCCCACGCCAGTGGTATATGTGTATCTGCCGACATCGCGCGATCTCCGTTATTGCGAACCACAAAACTTAAGGCAGTGATTCGAACGCCATCAGGCATCGTCGGGCTCGTATCGTCATCAAAACATCTCGAGCAACAAGCACGCGCACACCCGCAGGTGGGACTCCCCCCCCCGCCAAGTCGGCCTCCACCCCGAGGAAGAAAGGGGCTCCTTTCTTGCCCCGGGCGGCCATCGCGAAACACGTGCCGAAAAAAGAATACACAGGTGTAGATCGGAAGAGCGCTCCTTCACCAATGGGGGCCATCACACACGCCCGCACAGAAACCCCATTCACGTGTCCCAGATCATGGCCTTCAGAAGCACCTTGTGTTTTCAACCGCACCGAGACGTGACGGATTCAGCCGGCTAGTGCGGTCAAAGCATGGTAGTATTAAACCACACCCATGCTACCACCGCCACGGCTCACCTGCGGCGGGTCCAAGCTTTCGCTTGCCGGGCCTGGAAGGGTTAAGGGTGACCGCGGCTTCCCTCTTCTCCGCAGCTTTCGCCTGGCCACCACCAGACAGACAGAAAGCGTGCAAACACACACACAAACCTAGCTTGATGTTTGACATCACGTACACAGCATGGACGTTCCGAACCTCTGATCTCTGTTATCATCCTACACCCCTAAATTCTTTGCGGGAAAGTGCTTCCCTGTCACAAGCGAGCACCCGAAAAAAGGGGAAAAATACACCGTGACAAGGCCAAGAAAACGAGTATCCCGCCACAACGCCGAGACCGGTTGCGGACGAAGACACCGAGGGATCCCTCGCGTGTGCACGCACGAAAGCAAGGCACCAAGAGAGAAATGAGCCCCCCCCCCAAGGATTTCAAGCGTAGAGCCGCCGGTAGATATTGACGGACGTACGACATCCGTCCGAGGGACTGACGAGAACAGACCTCCTACGAGCAACGGACGAGTGGACGTGCCCACGGTGATTGCTTCATCACCGGACTCAAGCGCGCAAGACCTTCGCACGAGGCCTTTCGGAACGAGAAACCTAAAAGGTCTGGAAATACTGTGCCACGACAGCGGTGCATCGGATCACGTCGTGCCGCCACCGTCCCACAGCCACGATAGAACTCGGCAACGCAAAAAAACACCTGTAGCCCGTAGTCCCGTAGTTGTCTGTCCGTGAGCTCCTCCAGCATGGGCGCCAGCGCCATGAGCACACCCAGATCCCCCCGGCGGTCGCCGCCGCCTCTTTCCAGCTCTACCGCCGCCGACTTACCGCCATCATCACCTCCGCGTTCGTCCGAGTTGCAGTGCTGCACCGCCGAGAGGGCCGCCGTTGCCGCCAGCCTGGCCGCCGCCATCGCCCCCCTCGCCGCTGCCGCCGCCGCGGAGGCGGCGGCGGCGGCTCCTCCCATCCGAACGGCCGCCACCTCCGCCTCCGCTGCCGCCACCGCGGGGGCGACGCTCTCCAGCACTTCTTCCGCCGACGCTACCGCCGCGACCATGGCGGTCGCTTCCCGCACCGGCGTCGCGCCGCCACCTGCTGCCGACGCCGCTGCTTCGGCCATGATATCATCGAAACCCCGCTTGGGGGAGGGGATCCAACTGCCGAGACCATTAGGCGTGGCGGCGGCGGCGGCGGCGGGGGCAGCCTCTGGCGGGAGTGCCCCAGCGGTGGGCGACCTCCGCGGCGAGGACTTCGGCGTTCTGCCGCTACTGCCGCCGCCGCCGCCGCTGCCGCCGGAGGTCGTTATCGACGTCGTCGCCGTCATCGTCATCGCTGCCGCTGGTTTTCCCTTGCCCTTGCCCTTGCTCCTGCCACCGCCTATCGATGGAACCGCGCAGCGACGGATCTCCCTTTCCTCCTCCTTCGCCACAGCAGCGGCCCCACGAGAGGGCAGAGGCTCCGGACATTCAATACTCTCGCCTCTGCCGCCGCCGCCGCCGGCGGCCAGGGCGCCGGTCGACGAGCCGTCGCCGCGCTCCCCTTCTTCGTCGTGAGTGGGGTCGTCGATCGCGCGCAGGGCATCCACAACGCCGGCCCCCAGCTCCTCGTCCCCGATCCCCTCCGGCACGAGGGCCAACAGTCTCGAGAGAAGCGCCCGCGTGACGGCAGCGTGCTGCTGGCCGCCGCCGCCGCCGCCGCCGATATTTGTCGGCCGGACGACGACCCCTTCGCCCTTCTTCATCGCCGCTGTCGCTGCTGGTGGCGCAGCAGCGGCAGCAGCAGCGGCAGCAGGGGGG